CCCCCCCCCCCCCCAACACACACTATATCTAATACTATAATGATTACAAAAGAAAAAAAAATGCAATTCACCCGTCCTGGAGTTTTCAGAATACATTTAACTTTCTCAAGCACCTGCTCAACTTCTCCAGGGTCCTTTAATTTCTTTTTTATCTCTTCTTCCAACAGTTCCCATTGGAAAGCACCTATGACAAAACCAAAAAATACTTTATAGTATGGAATAGTCCTCTTATTATCATGTATAAATAAACATACTAAGGCTTTTGCAGACAGATAAAAGATAATGTCTGTGCCCAACAGTAGGTTTTATAAAAATTATTCTTTTAGCATTCTTGTTCGCTAGATTTTTTTCAGCAAGTTTCTGCCTGAAAACATGCAAGAAACAATTCTCAATTGTCAAACTTGCATGCTGAGGTTTATTTTTAGTGGAAGTCTACAAGGTCAGAAGAACATACCTTGGTTCAGATTTTCAAAGCTATATGAGATTTAGACACGTAAATTTCATGGGAAAGTGTGATTAAATTCCTTAGACAGCTTTGAAAATTATCAGTACTTAAATATACTCAAGGTCATGTATGTCTTCCCTCAGAAACGGTTGTGAAAACAGGCCCTTAAGCTTAGGCACTTAAGTATATTCAGTTCTTGTAATATACCAGTTATTTATCCTTTTTAATTCTTCTATACTACCGAAGCATAAAGGATCAGCCATTCAAAGGAACTTATGCATTAAGCCAAAAGCTGGGGAAAAACCCACCTCCTTCAACAATGAGTTGCTAAGATATTCCTTATCAGTATTTTTCTTGATGTTTTAGGTAACCCATACATTCTCTATAGGCTAGTGGTGGCTTGCAAAGAGTTGGCTGATTGATCGCACAGTACTGCCTCCCCCTTTTTTTCTTATTTCTAACAACTATATTGCATTAGAAGGCACTAAAAACATACTAAAGTGTTTAATACCATTTTAATACCAAACAATGTCTGTACTTGTAATAGAAGTGTTGCTTGTTGGCCACTTGAAGGGAAGCAGTCTACACAACAGTGAAAAGGAGACAACTTTTGTATTAAGATTTGGTGAACACTATGGAGAAGTATGAAAACCGCAGAACTAATCCAGCTAAAGTTTCAGAATGCTAAACACTCAGATAAGCAAGCAACTAAAAATATAAAAAAGGAAGTTGTTTTTTGCTGTCCTATTCTCTCTCACCTTATAGCCAATGCTAAAAAGAAAGTTACATTTTCTTCTAAAGCTTTCTGAATTATTGCCATCTGCTGTGGAAGGTATTTGTGCTTCACAGACCTTCCTTTAAAAACAAGTTTATTCTTTTGATTCTGCATTAAAGTCAAAATTTGTTTTTGATACTTCAATTAGCTACCAAGGAAATAACAGTGTATTACAAATATTTACCAAAATTTCCCGCAGGATCAAGTAGAAGAAGGATGGAAAGAATGACATTTCTGCAACGCAAATATGCGATAAGCATAAAAGAGGTCAGGTTAAAATAAATCACAGATCAAATGTTTCTTAGTGAAAATTTGATAGTTAAAAGGTCAATAAAATATGTTAAGATATCTATTCATTCATTTATCTTCAATCAAAATTTACAGAGCAACACTTCAAAAGATTAAATGCTCATAATTTTCCTATATAATCCCTGTTAATCTGAGAGAAAAAATCTTTTCCATTGACAGCAGAATGTAAAATTAGTCATTTTACAGATACCCTATTTTCAGAAAGTGAACTATGTGATTCCTCTTAGTTTACTGGTATTAACCTCCTAGGAATAATACTGATTTAGTAAGAAAAGGAGTCCAATTAGTATCTAATTATGTGAGCAGGTGTTTTACTCAGTAGGTTTTCCCACTTGCCAGATAGGGAAAAAGCATAACATGGTTAGAGTCCAAAAAATGACAAAAATTAGCATTAGCACCCTATTACACCTTCAAGGGATATGCCTTCTGTACATCTCCATGGTCATAATCATGTATGCTAATTTTTCTGGGGAAACTAAGCTTTTAGTACTTTTTACTCTTTTAAGCCCTGTAGAGCCACTTTTGTGGGAAACTGAGCTAGATTTCCTCAGGTTTACATATCAGAAAAGAATATCTTAAATGCAGACCTGAATCCCAGCAAGCAGCTGCACAGTGATGAAGTTCCCACACTGGCATTCACCTGGTGTGGAACAAGCTTAAATTCCAATTGCCAAGTATTCATTATTGTTGATGCTAAAGCCAACAAGCACTCTGCTTGTGACACAGGTACAAAGCTGAGTGTGCAAGGCTGGCAGTTAGGAAAACACATCTTTGAACACTCTGAACAAATCAGATTTCATTTGGATGTCACTGAGAAACATGAAACCTCATAATGCCACTTTTACTGAAGCCCATGTCTTAGAAGGACACAAAGCAAAGTTTTAAGATTTACATGGCTGACAGCTCCGTTGTGGAAAATCAGTTGGGGAAAGGAAGCAAAATACCACGTAGTCCAAAGCCACATTACTAAAGAGATTAGTATTACTCTCTTTGGACATGTCTACATATTGCCGTACGATGACATTGCTATGGTGCTGTGTTTTCGTACTTCCTTTTGGAAGCACAGTATAACCTCATAAATCTGGCATGCTTGGCACTGAGCACCTGCCGGACATTTGAAAATGCTGGATTTTTGAAACTCGAGTGGTGGCTGGTCACGAAGCGGCAGTGGGGAAGGAGGGGGGAGTGGGGAGGAGGGAAGTGGCAGCCAGTCCTGGAACAGCAGTGCCCAGTCCTGGAACAGCAGCTACACGCAGAATGGCAGTGCAGGGTTCTAGATGGTGGCGGCTGTCACCGCGTGCAAGCTTCCCCATGTGTCCAGGGAGGGAGTGGGGGACAGCAGCAGCCAATCCCGGAACAGTGCCGGGTTTTTGAGATCCGGACTTATGAGGTTGTACTGTACTAAAGCACGGAGCAATATGGGAGGTTACTGCGCCATCTGCACGGCACATGGTTAGATTTTGCTGCTACGGTGCCATGCTGTAACTGGGAAACGTGCTGCTATGGCAACGTAGCTGGCAATTGCCTGAAGACCCATGTCGCCATAAGGTAACATGTAGACATGCCCTTCGTTCTGCTGCATTAATGGGTCTGAAAGGAGCATGCCCATTTATAAATTTAAAGGGAAACTTAAATGATATACAAATTGAAAAGGATAAAAATAAACTTAACACCATCTGAAGTCTTCACTGCTACCAAGAAAGGTAGATCAAAATATAAAGCCTTATCTTCCAAAAGACAGATATCCCCAATACTGCTTTCCCACACTGGATGAAAAGAAAACTTTCAGGATTCTAAAAGAACAAAGAGGCTTTTGTGTGTTGTTTGGTTTATGACAAAATTAACTGTCAGAAAATTTCCAAAGGGATGTGCCATCTTATAGTGGAGGTTCATGGGATATCAAGGGTCAACATAGTTGCTAAATCAATCCCTTAGATATTCTCATTTACTAGTGGACTGAAATGCCTTCCATACTTTGGTAAAGTAACCAAAACTAACTTTATTTAAAAACAAAATCTAAATACCCACAAGAGTATATTAGACAAAAGGTATTGATTGAGCCATCATATTTAGTTTTTTAGTAACTAAATGAACAGAAAAGCATTGCCTTCCTTTCCTTTTTGTGTCCTTTGACAAGGTGTTTAGCAGAGTTTGTGGATTTGTTGGAATCTGACAAGCCACACCATGAGCACTTCTGCTATAGCCTTGAACTTGCAATTTCTAGGTTGTCAACCCTGCTAGTGCCTGTGCCACCCTAGCCCCCCAATAAGCATTGCCTGGTAATTTGATATTTGTTTTTCTGCATGAATTATAAAAGCCACCAGTATTCACGACTACGAAAACTTTTTAATTGAAAAATTCTTAAGACTCACTTTCTTTTTTACCTATAATATTTATGACATCATGTTGAGCAGGACATCTTTGAAAATCATTAGCTTGCTCATTCTGAACTCACTCATCAAAATAAGTATTTTAATTATACTTACATGATTTTAAAGACAATTATTAGATTGAAAAGTTATATAAATATTTAAAATGTCAGATTAAGAATTTTAAAAGTGAAAATAAGTGTTTATAAAAGTTGAAGATACAACTTGTTTCTTAAGATTAGTGTTTCATTACTGAATGGTTCCCAGTGTTAGCAAGGAAGAATTTTTCTTTACAGGAAAAAAAGCAAGAAAATAAGAATGGCAGTATACTCTGGCTTTATTAAAAAAAAAAAAAATATCATCTCTTCTGGAGGCCTGCTCTAGTCCTAATTGACTTTAGTGGGTACTGAATCCAGCCCAAAGTGTCACCAAATATTTTTACTTGGTAATCATGTATACTTGTATATAAGAGAATAGCAACTGAAAGGCTTGAGGGCTGTTGGTTGCAGCTGTGTCTGTCTAAGGACTTAGGCAGACAAGGCTTCTGTTCTACCCAGGAGAACACACAATTCACCAGTAGAACCTCTCTATGCCTGAAGGGTGTTTGTGCCCGTATGCTTACAAAGAACATTTCTTCCAACTATTTTGTTGGTCTAATAAATTATACCACATCTACCCAAAGAACCTTGTCTACCTAGCGACTGATATAACATTTTTGAAGAAATGAGAGGAAGAGCGTATGCTTGAATATTTTGTCTGAATAAGCTTCAAACACCACTAATTTGTTTATATGAACATTCACAGCTAAAGTTGAAGGACATAATGTCTGAAGGAGTAAGGGAGATTCAAAGATAGCAGAAAACTTCACATTGTTATAATCCTTAGGCCACTAGGAACAAAGCCAATCCCAAGAGTAAGTCAGGATACTCTAATACAGAGCCAAGCCCAAGAGGCAGAAACACAAGCCAGGAACTGATGCAGTACAGGATATCCTGAGTTTAACCTCTGTCTACCAGTTGCCAGTAGCTAACACCCTATACCAGTACTGGTGGGTGGGGGCCTATGCCAACATTATAAACAGAATCTACTAATGCTAAAACAAAAAACAAGCACATAGTACTTTATAATCTGGCCTTTTGTTCTTAATTCAATATACACCTTAAAAATGTTCTAAATAAAAAAAAAGACACAGCTCTCATGTGAACTGAATTCACATGTCACATTTAGGATTGGATTAAAAAAGGCCTTGATTAACTGGAGAAACAGCCTGAAATCAACTGAATGAA